ATTCAAAAATTCAAATGCATATCAAAAATGCATATTTCAGTTAACATTTTTAGCGTTAGAAATCATAAGTAAATAAAATTTTCAATCATTTAATTAATTAATTTTCTCATCGGATGAGTGAAGGCATGGGTTTTGATCTGCTATTAATCGCGACGAACGCCAATGGGCTGACTGTGCCGTTGGGGGCCAAGTGTTGCGTCTGTCGGTGCCTTCTGGACGACGGCGTCGGTCTCTCCGGCTGTCAACACAACGCCTGCTTTCAGTGTATGAAACGGACGGCCGGTTCCGCACTCGACAGCAAGTGTCCCATCGATGGCAAGCCGTTTGACGTCAAACGATACTATCATCTGAGCGAAGAGATCGAGCGCTGGCTGTCGGCCATCAAACTCAAGTGCCAGTGGTTTGACGGCCAGACGTGTACGGCTACCGCTGTCTCCATACGCAACGCCCGCCGCCATCAAGAGATCTGTGCCAACAATCCGGCCAATAAGCTGTCCAAAGAACAGGTCAATGTCGTCAAACTGGTCCACAACTGGATGCGAAACAACGACTTCTCGAAGGCGTCGTTGGAGTCGTCGTCCGCCGCATCCGATGACAGCTCAGACGACAAGTGCCGCAACGGATCCAACAGTAGTGACCAAATGAAGGCACCGAAAGAGCGACCGACAGCGGCGGTGGTGTCGACGTCGTCGCCGGCGCTCAATCACCAGCACATCCGGCCGTCGAAGAACGCCGGCGCCAATCGACCGAAACCCAGGTATGGCTTCAAACCGTCGAAGAGGACAATCGGTCGCCGATTCTTCACCAGCGAAACGGCGCCTGAAATCGATTCCGATTGGAGACAGAAGTGAACGCCTGTTATGTATGGTATGCCCGACACAGACATCGCACACACATCCAGTCCATTGTCTTTCACTCATTTAGTTGTTTTAGTTTGCATTTGAAAACCACTTTTGGTTTGTTTAATAAAATAAATGTCATTTAAATTGTGCCTTAATTTTGTACTCGTATTGCTTTTGGGCCATAAATGTGCAAATTTTGTTACATTGTGTATAACTCTATGACTTAATTATAACGAGAGTAGACTATTTGTGGTGAAATAATAATTATTGCATTGATTAAACTTTTAAACTAATAAGACTTTTAACTCCAAAGGGGTGTAAAAATGTTCATTTATTTGTCACTCTTTAAACGTAACGTTATATAAAAGCGTTAATTTCAAAAATTGACACTAATTTTAAATACAAAGTAACGTTTATAATAAGTGGTGAATATAAAAATACTATAAACTATAAGGGGTTTCCATTTATAAATCATTACACCCTTTATAAAGGGGGCAATAATACAAAACTATATAACTTTCGTCACGGCTTTTGTGTGCAGTAAATAACCCTTTATCTGAAGCCAATAACACGCATTGACTATAGACTGTGTTAATTATAAACAGCGTTTCGGTACTATTACTAGACATTACTCTATAGTGAATAACAGTCACAAAAAGGCACTAAACAAAGCGCACACATAATTGCTGTATTGGCTCAACACAGCAATAGTGAGGATTATATACAGTAAAACACGTGTTCATATGAATTGAATTAAATTAATAAATCAAACAAAACAAATACACACAAAATTACCATCAAATAAATTACACACATAATTAGTTAATAAGTATTGCACAATCAAATCAGTCAGTGATTTACCACGTGTTACGTACATTTTACGCCTAATGGCGTACACTATAGCGAGTGTGTAATGTATAAAATGTGCGGCATTTTATCGGCCATTGAATGTGCTTTTGATTGTTAAACAATACATAGAGTGTTGTGTTGTGTTGTGTTGTGTTGTGTGAGCACAAGTGTTGTTGTCTTTGAAACACACGTTATTATCACATCAACAGACAATTTGTGACCAATTCTTCATTTAGATTATCTCATCGATGGTTACCGTCGACTACTAGTGGTGGCGAAGAGGCCATCGATTAGCTCTCAAACATAACAGCGAGTCTTCGCTCCACAACTGTTTGTATTTTGAACTCTTCTGCCGACCAATGCTTTTGGAGACAGTCATCGCGCCATCACTTCATTATCATTAAGTCAATCGGTGGTAAGTGTTGGCCAATGCCGTTGTCTTGTCATGAATGTTAATGTTATTGTGTTTGTTGTTTAGCTGTTCCAACCATGACATCGACGCTCACCACCGCCGCCGTCTCTGCGGCCGCCACTGATGTCAGTAGTGATGGCGATAGTAGTGTTGCCAACAAACCTGACCTCAGAGTCCGTATCGTGAATGTGGACCAC